CGCAAACTGGCGCATTAGCCCGGGCTTCCTCGTCTTTTCCTCTGACAAGGTCCTACTCCAGGATAGATTATTTTTTAACCGATTTACAACTTCTGCAACATGTTACCAAAGCAACAATTCACCCTATGACATGGTCAGAACATGCGCCTATACAGTGAGGAACAGAAGTATTTGAACACCCTGCGATTTTGCAAGTTCTCCCAGTTAGAAATCATGGAGGGGTCTGAAATTCACATTGTAGGTGCATTCCCACTCTGAGAGACAGAATTAAAAAAAAAATTCAGGAAATCACATTGTATTATTTTTAAAGAATTTATTTGTCTTGCACTGCTGAACATAAGTATTTGAACACCTGAGAAAATCAGTGTTAAATGTTTGGTACAGAAGCCTTTGTTTGCAATTACAGAGGTCAGACGTTTCCTGTAGTTCTTGACCAGGTTTGCACACACTGCAACAGGGATTTTGGCCCACTTCTCCACACAGATCTCCTTTAGATCTGTCAGGTTTCGGGGCTGTGGCTGAGCAACACGCAGTTTCAGCTCCCTCCAAAGATGTTCTATAGGATTTAGGTCTGGAGACTGGCTAGGCCAAACCAGAACCTTGATATGCTTCTTACGGAGCAACTACTTGGTTATCCTGGCTGTGTGCTTCGGGTCGTTGTCATGTTGGAAGACCCAGCCATGACCCATCTTCAATGCTCTGACTGAAGGAAGGAGGTTGTTGCTCAAAATCTCACAATAAATGGCCTCATTCATCCTCTCCTTAATACAGTGCAGTCATCCTGTCCCCTTCGCAGAAAAGCACCCCCAAAGCATGATGTTACCACCCCCATGCTTCACAGTAGGGATGGTGTTCTTGGGATGCAACTCATCCTTCTTTTTCCTCCAAACACGACGAGTGAAGTTTAGACCACTTTAGACAAAAGTTCTACTTTGGTCTAATCTGACCACGACTTTCTCCCATGCCTCCTCTGGATCATCCAGATGGTCATTGGCAAACTTCAGATGGGCCTGGACATGTGATGACTTGAGCAGGGGAACCTTCCGTGCAATGCATGATTTGAAACCATGACGGCGTAGTGTTCAACCACGGCGTAGTGTTCTACCAGTGACCTTTGAAACTGTGGTCCCAGTTCTCTTCATGTCATTGACCAGCTCCTCCCTTGTAGTTCTGGGCTGATTCCTCACCTTTCTTATCATCAGTGATACCCCACGAGGTGAGATCTTGCATGGAGCCCCAGTCTGAGGGAGACTGACAGTCGTCTTTAGCCTTTTCCATTTTCTAACAATTGCTCCAACAGTTGATCTATTTTCACCAAGCTACTTGGCAATTGCCCCGTAGACCTTTCCAGCCTTGTGGAGGTCCACAATTTTATCTCTGGTATCTTTTGACAGCTCTTTTGTCTTGCCCATGGTAGTAGTTGGCGTCTGACTGACTGTGGGGTGGACAGGTGTCTTTAAAGAGCTCAGACAGGTGCTACTAAGTTAGATTAATGAGTGGAGTAGAGGTGGACTTTTTAAAGGCACAGTACAGGTCTTTGAGAGCCAGAATTCTTGCTGTTTCTTAGGTGTTCAAATACTTATGTTCAGCAGTGCAAGACAAATAAATTCTTTAAAAATCATACAATGTGATTTCCTGATTTTTTTTTTTTAAATCTGTCTCTTAGAGTGGGAATGCACCTACAATGTGAATTTCAGACCCCTCCATGATTTCTAACTGGGAGAACTTGCAAAATTGCAGGGTGTTCAAATACTTCTGTTCCTCGCTGTATCTATCTGCATTGAAGAGTCATTGCGATTTTCACCTGTATTTTTGTGGCGTAATGATACTTCTATGTTTCTTAACCCCGGTACTCGTTCTCATATTTCTAAATCTTTGCAGGAGTATTTTGATATTAATGCCTCTTCAGATGCAGATATAGTCAATGTTTGGTGTGCTCATAAGGTTTTCGGTCGCAGAGTGTTAGTACAGCTACCTTCTTGGGAGAAAAAGCATAGACAAAAAGGCCCTGTTAGAACTACTATCTAGGATCACTAGTTTAGAATCCCAACATAAAAGAGGTCTTTCTCCTAAGGTGTTACAGCAATTGCAGACTAACAGACTAGCTCTTAGAAAAATTTTAATACTCCAACACGAAAAATACCTTAGAAGAGTCAAAACGAATTACTATACCCAAGGTAATAAGGCCGGAAAATTATTGGCCTCCTACATCAACGCTAAACAGGCAAAAACCAAAATTCCCTCTATGATAGATCCTAAATCTAAGAAAATGTTTTTCCATCCCAATACAATTGCAGAGGCATTTCGGACCTACTACACTCAATTGTACAATCTCAAAGATGATCCAAATACGCCTCAACCCACTCCTGACTTTATCAATAGCTTTTTTGCCAATCTCTCTCTACCTGGACCAGTCGAAGCTGGATATTTTAAATCAGCCTCTATCAGGGATATAGATTTTGGCCGCAATTAAGGCGCTACTGAAGGGAAAATCGCCTGTGACAGATGGGTTTGCTGCAAAATATTACCAGGAATTTCAAGATATATTAATACCCCATATTAAAAAAGTGTTCTTGCAGGTTGAACAAAATCAGAGATGTTGAAAGCAATCATAGCCACTCTGCCCAAACCAGGTAAATCTCCAGACTGTTCCCCCAAAATCTTTGCCCAATATCCTTACTTAGTACGGATCTTAAGATTTATGCTAAAATACTAGCTAGCAGATTACTAACAGTGACTCCTTCTCTTATTCAATTAGACCAAGTAGGGTTCGTTAAAGGTAGGCAGGCATCGGATGGCACACGTAGGGTGCTTAATCAATTGAGGATTGCTGAACTTTGTAAATCTCAAACTGTCTTTTTGCCGAAAAGGCTTTTCGATAGAGTTCACTGGCAGTATCTCGACTGTACTCTTTCTAATTTCGGTATGTATGGATACATCAAATCAGCTATCACGGTGTTATACACAGTGCCTTCTGCACAAGTTTTTACATCCAATGCCTTGTCGGATCCCTTCCTAATCACAAACGGTACCTGACAAGGATGTCCCCTCTCCCCTATTATTTTTTCTCTGGTTATGGAACCCCTGGCGACTTCAATTGATTGAATCCCTTGATTTCGGGTATACAAACAGCAAATATAGCCCACAAAATTGGCCTCTTCACAGATGATGTCATACTTATCATAATGGACCCATTGACTTCGTTGACAGCAATCTCTTCTACACTTAAAATGTTTAGCGACATTTCATATTATAAACTCAATATTACTAAATCGTGTACACTTTCTATAGGGGTTCCAAAAGATCTCTTACATTGTCCTAAAAACAAGTTCCTGTACAGCTAGTCCACTAAGAATCTGGAGTATTTGGGCATTCAGGTGTCTTCCCCTTCTTCCAACATGTTCAAAGACAATTACGAGGAATTATACCAGGCGATTTTAAGGGTTCTATTAGCAATTGGAAAACATGAGCTCTCGTGGTTGGGCAGATTAGCGGCCTTTAAGATGTTGATCCTGCCTAAACTCTTATACTACTTTAGAATGATCCCGCTCCTTATCCTCCATTCTTATTTTAGTAATCTTGTTTTCGGCTCTCATTAAACATAAATCTAAGGAGGGTGTAGGTTTCCCTGTTGTATCTACCTACTATTATGCTGCACTGCTAGATCAACATCAGAACTGGCTGATCCCCTCGCATAAGCTTTAGGCACAAATAGAGGGAAGCATAGTCCCAGCTGGGGATCCACAGGCTCTATTACTTGCGAAAGCTATTTCCCCGCAGTTAATCCATACCCTACCTTCCCTCTATTTCTGCGACATTGAGTGCATGGCTAATAGGCTTATCTAAATCCACACCTACCCCTAAGATTAAACTAGACACATACCATTAACAACCTATGAACATCTTATTCCCAATCTTAATGTAAAACCTTTGAGAGAAGCGGGCTACTCTAAGTTTACTGACATCCTTGCTTCACAATTGAGGGGAAATATATACCTATTTTTTTCAGATTCGGGCTTACCATGGCACCAATTACAATTTGGGGGTGGAAGTGGATTCTAAGATTTGGAATATTTTATCAAACTCGTTGCAATCCAAGATCTTCAAAGGCAAAAAAGGGAGATGCATAATAGATTAATATGCTATCATATTTCATTTTAATTCAACCAACAACAATAAATATGCTCTCCACTTTTATAATTACAAATCAATAATTTGAAAAAAACACTTGCCTGGCAGAGCATCCTTAAAAACAAAGATGTCCAACATGGAATCCTGGACTCAAGTGGATGAGGAAGTGTCCTTCGGATATACACAGGTGGTCGCCTCAGGTATCATCTCAGACATTGGTGGTGTGAGGAGGAGCCCAACAATATCACCAAAAGCCCAAAGAGCAGGGGGGGATTTAAGCCACTAATTAAAAAAAGAATTCCAATAGTAAAGGAATATAAATATGAGAAGAGTAATGCTCTTGCTGACCGTCTGTGGTATAATACATATTAACTGATGTTCAAATGAGAGTGAGAGAGGAGGGAATATTGTTCCTCTTTCACTAACCGCAAAAGCCCAGTAGGAGAAATCAAGCCACTAAATGGAATAAAAGAAGTGTAAAGTCCTCCAGGTTATCCAGACAGGCTGGTTGTTTTTTTTTTTTCCAGGTAGAGGCTGGGTAGCAGCCTGGGATGAGTCAGCCTGGGAGTGGGGTCACCTCAGCACAGGCTTGGAGGCTCTAACAGATCAGGGCTTTTGGAGCCTCTCTAGAAAGCTAGAGAGTGGAGAACTTTCTTGAAGAGTGGAGGGGAGGAGGCTCAGATCTGCATGTTTGAGGGACCTTGGCCAATCCCCTGGCAGGAGGCTGGACATGGTGACTAGAGATGAGCGCGAATTATTCAAAAAATTCGATTCGGCTGATTCGGCGAATTCACGGAATAAATTCGATTCGAATATATTCGCTGCGAATTTAACTTATAAAAAGGGTGTTTCTAGGCTTCAGAGAGCCTTTATATTAGTGCAGAACACTGTACCTTTAATTTAAATGCCCTTGGAGTCTGCTGGGGAAGAGAAATAATACTGTCAGTCAGTATGACATGCAGATGAGTGCCGTCGATCTTAGAATCACCGCACACTTCACTCATTTGGGCAGTCACGGGGCCAAAACCAGAGTGTGGAGCCACAGTGTGGCGGTGGAGGCAGCAGCAATGGGAGGCCATACAGCACCCTATGAAAAAATGGAACCCACCAGCAGTGTGAGGAGACCTGAAAGTGGCACATGGCAGAGTGTGGCGATGGAGACAGCAGCAATGGGAGGCCGTACAGGGACCCATGACACACTCTGGATCTGGCAGCAGCATGAGGAGGTGGTACAGGGGCCCATGACAGATTACGGGCCTGGCAGCAGCATGAGGAGTTGGTACGGGGGCCCATGGCAGATTACGGGCCTGCCAGCAGCAATGGGAGGCCATACAGCACCCTATGACAAAATGGAACCCACCAGCAGTGTGAGGAGACCTGAAAGTGGCACATGGCAGAGTGTGGCGATGGAGACAGCAGCAATGGGAGGCCGTACAGGGACCCATGACACACTCTGGATCTGGCAGCAGCATGAGGAGGCGGTACAGGGGCCCATGACAGATTACGGGCCTGGCAGCAGCATGAGGAGTCGGTACGGGGGCCCATGGCAGATTACGGGCCTGGCAGCAGCAATGGGAGACCATACAGCACCCTATGACAAAATGGAACCCACCAGCAGTGTGAGGAGACCTGAAAGTGGCACATGGCAGAGTGTGGCGATGGAGACAGCAGCAATGGGAGGCCGTACAGGGACCCATGACACACTCTGGACCTGGCAGCAGCATGAGGAGGCGGTACAGGGGCCCATGACAGATTACGGGCCTGGCAGCAGCAGGAGTCGTCGGTACGGGGGCCCATGGCAGATTACGGGCCTGGCAGCAGCAATGGGAGGCCGTACAGGGACCCATGACACACTCTGGACCTGGCAGCAGCATGAGGAGGCGGTACAGGGGCCCATGACAGATTACGGGCCTGGCAGCAGCATGAGGAGTCGGTACGGGGGCCCATGGCAGATTACGAGCCTGGCAGCAGCAATGGGAGGCCCGTAATCTGCCAGCACCCTATGACAAAATGGAACCCACCAGCAGTGTGAGGAGACCTGAAAGTGGCACATGGCAGAGTGTGGCGATGGAGACAGCAGCAATGGGAGGCCGTACAGGGACCCATGACACACTCTGGACCTGGAAGCAGCATGAGGAGGTGGTACAGGGGCCCATGACAGATTACGGGCCTGGCAGCAGCATGAAGAGTCGGTACGGGGGCCCATGGCAGATTACGGGCCTGGCAGCAGCAATGGGAGGCCCGTAATTTGCCAGCACCCTATGACAAAATGGAACCCACCAGCAGTGTGAGGAGACCTGAAAGTGGCACATGGCAGAGTGTGGCGATGGAGACAGCAGCAATGGGAGGCCGTACAGGGACCTGGCAGCAGCAAGAGGAGGCGGTACAGGGGCCCATGGCAGAGTGGCGAAGCGTAAGCAGCTTAAATTGAAGGCCATACAGAGGCCTATGTTAAAAATAATAACATGTTTGGGGCATGATTCATGGCGGATTTAGTCAGTTGTGTCAGGAACTGGTGGTTTGAAATCCAGACTAATCCACGCCTGATTCATTTTCACAAACGTGAGTCTCTCCACACTTTGGGTGGACAGTCGTGTCCTCCGCGGAGTTACAATACCTCCTGCCGCACTAAACACGCGCTCCGATGCCACGCTACTGGCCGGGCATGACAGCCTTTCAAGGGCAAATTCAGCTAGTTGGGGCCAAAGGTCAAGTTTCGTTGCCCAGTAGTCAAGGGGATTGTCTACCTCGGTTGGCAGGGTGCTGTCCAAGTAGGCCCAAGCCTGTTGTTTAAGGTCCTGCTCCAGGTCCACCTGATGCTGCTGCTGCTGCGGCTGGTTAGTAGTTTCCTCACTGCGCTGGTGAAGAAAGCTACTCATCATCGACTGCAGACTGAGGCAGCCGCTGCTGGTGGAGCTGCCACTGCTCCTACCACCCCCACACCCCTCCCCTGCTGCCATGGCAGCGGAACGCGAGCGCACAGGGCCCACAGTGTCTGAGGATGGACGTTGGCGCAGAAAGGCAGAGACCAACTGACTACATAGGTGGTTTTTATAGTACGTTATTTTGGCCTCCCTCTCAGCAGGTGTGAAAAAGGCCACCATTTTTGAACGGTAGCGAGGGTCCAACAAGGTGGACAGCCAAAAGTCATCCCTCTGTCTGATGGTTATTATTCGGCTGTCGCTACGCAAGCAACCGAGCATGCTATGGGCCATTTGTGCCAAGGAATGCGAGGGACTCCCTGCCTCCATCTCCACAGCATACTGCCACGGTGCGTCTGGGTCCTCTGTCTCCTCCTCCTCCTCCTCTACCAGATGCTCCTGCTCCTCCACTCCTGTCCGCTGAGTGGAAAAACCACCCATTTCACTCAATAATTCCTGAGCACCAATGTCCTCCTCTACCTCCTCCTCTTCTTCCTGTCCTGCCCCCACAGGGGTCATGTGGCGTTGAGATCTGTGCGCCACGTCTACCGCACCCTGACCAGCCATTGTTAACAGCATTTGTTCCAGGACGTGCAACAGAGGAATGACGTCGTTCATCCCATAGTCCTGCCGACTCACGAATAGTGTGGCCTCCTCAAAGGGCCTGAGCAAGCGGCAGGTGTCACGCATGAGCTGCCAATGGCTGACATCTAAGTTACACAGGGGAGTACCTTTATCCGCTTGTAACATCAGGAAATCGGTGATGGCCTTTCGCTGTTCGTAAAGGCGGTCTAACATATGTAGGGTTGAATTTCACCTTGTTGCAACGTCGCAGATCAGGCGATGCTGTGGAATTCCGTTCTGCCGCTGCAGCTCAAGGAGGGTGTGCTTTGCGGTGTAGGAATGGCTGAAATGCATGCAAAGTTTACGTGACATTTTAAGGATGTCTTGCAGTGGGATGGTGGATTTTAGGAACCGCTTGACAACCAGATTGAACACGTGAGCCATGCATGGCGCATGGCACAACCTTCCTTGACGCAGAGCAGACACCATGTTCTTTCCGTTGTCGGTCAACATGGTTCCGATTTCCAGTTTGCGCGGAGACAGCCATCTGTCGATTTCTCTGTTCATTACACTCAGAAGTTCCTCCCCTGTGTGACTACGTTCGCCAAGGCATACCAGGTGCAGCACAGCGTGACACCGTTGCGCCCTGGCTGTAGGTGTCAGAGGTGACCTGGGAAGAGGAAGACGACCGAGCCAACCAATCGATGACGGCAGGGTTGTCGGTGGAGACACGACCGCTGGATGACACCGGGAGCACTGGCCTCTGGCTGCGACTAGTGCTGCCTCGACCCCTTCCTCTGCTGCCACGTCTGCTCGCTCCTAAAACATTGCCTCCTCTGCCACTCCTCTGCATGTTGTCTGACATACTCTTTAATTCAACGATTCTGTGTCCCTGAGTAACGATTCAGTGTCCCTGAGTAACGATTCTGTGTCCCTGAGTAACGATTCTGTGTGCCTGAGTAACGATTCTGTGTGCCTGAGTAACGATTCTGTGTCCCTGAGTAACGATTCTGTGTCCCTGAGTAACGATTCTGTGTCCCTGAGTAACAATTCTGTGTCTGTCCCTGAGTAACAATTCTGTGTCCCTGAGTAACAATTCTGTGTCCCTGAGTAACAATTCTGTGTCCCTAAGTAACGATTCTGTGGCCCTAAGTAACGATTCTGTGGCCCTAAAGTCTCTTTGGCCCTAACTCTGTCCCTAATACACAGAGGTCTGTCTCTCTTGAATGACCGGAGGCTAATGGAGAATTCTAAGATGGCCGCGATTTATAGCTCCACCATTACACAGTGCTGGCTGGCTGGCTGCTGATTGGCTAATGCGATCACATGTCATGAATGAATGCATTATGGGTCAGCGCGCCTTGTCTGCGCACCTTCCCAGAGATCCCCGCTCCGTCGCCACACATGTCGCCGCCATTTTTGGGAAAATTCGATTCGTGCATCCGAAGTTTGCTAATTTTCGGATTCGGCGCGAATCGAATATTTCCTAATCTTCGAAACGAATTCCACTTTGTCATGTTCGATTCGCTCATCTCTAATGGTGACCAAAGCAACCCTCAAATATCACAGAGCCTAGGGGGCAGTGGTCCATGTCAAGTGAGGAGCCTGGGAGGGGGGCTTACCTACAGGCAGCTTTCTGGAGAATAAGATTTCCACTGTACCACCTTCTCCTGGGGAGGAGCTCAGGAGAGCAGCAGGGAAGGAGCCAGCTCAGGGAAAGGCCCGAAGGCATCAGCCAACCCACTAAGCTGACAGGAAAGGACAGTGTGGGTACTCCTACACCCCCTGGGCCAGATAAGGGGAAAGGGCAGTCAGGTGGAAAGCTCAACTAGCTTCTCATCTGGGACTACTTGTTCTAAATTGGTAGCTTCTGTAGTAGATTGCAGATTTCAAAACAAACTTCTTTTTACTTCTTTTGTCATTATGGGGTATTGTTTGTAGAATGTTGAGGAAAATTTTTTTTATCAATTTTGGAATAAGGCTATAACATAACAAAATGTGGCAAAAGTTAAGCGCTGTGAATACTTTTTGGATGCACTGTATCTTTTTAATCGGTTCTAATCAGTGTTGTTGTTTCTGCTGTTACTATTAGATCATTAAATGTTGCCTTGTTACCTATTTTAACTTCTAGTAGTTGGACTGCCTGTATTGTAATTTGTGATTCCAGACCTTTTAGACACTGTTTGGTCCTAAAGAAAATGGTACCTATATAACAACATACCAGAACACCATTCTCTAATAGGAAAAATCCCAGGGAATGCATGCCATGACAACAACAAAATGCTCCTTATATATCAACATACTGAAACACCATTCTCTAATTAATAGGATGAATCCCAGGGAAAATGCCTGCCATGACTACAAATGGCACCTGAACTTTAGTTGGTGCTCTAGTGCCTTTGTTTTATTCAGTAGCAGGCTATTTAAGGAGATACTGCATGGACGTCGGCGTACTAGAGTCCCCTGAAGACATGCATTCACGTGAAACCGGTTGGGGCAGGAGCTACTTGCTGACTTCTCGCCACCACTTCCACTGGCATTTGGATGAAGCCTTTTACTTTATGTGTAATTTCTACATTTTAATAAACATACTACACTATATGTGGTCCCCTACTTGTGGCTCGCTTTTTTTTCCAGACAGTATCAAGCAAACTTTGTCCCTAGTGGTGAGAAGCAGTACTGCAGGGTGTCCCCATTGTAAGAATGGAGCTGGTTGACCAAGTGTGAAGGATCCTGTTGACACAAACGTGCATGTTGCTGCTTTCCTCTGGCAGCTTTAATGTCAGTGTTACGGATCCGCCAGGTGGTGCCTCTGGCAGCCCACTAGACGGAATCACCCGAAGCGTGGAGTCTAAGTCCCGATCTGCGTTTTCACCAGGGCCCCTGATGGTGGGGATGGACTTGGAGCAGAACCAGGACCAGGTCACGACCTCCGAGCAATACCACCAGTGGCAGAAGGAGCCTCCGGGGATGAGTGTAAACCAGAAGAGAGCCAGATGTGAGGAGGCCGGCAGGACCAGGCAGGATAAACCGGCGGTTGTCACCGTGGGGAATGGCGAGGTACAGAGACGGCAGGCAGAGAGTGGTCAGGTCACACGCAGGGTCAGTATCGAAGTCAGTCCGCAGAATGGTCAAACAAGCCGGGGGTCGGGATAGGAGAAGGCAGCGTAGTCAGGGGCAATCCGGGTCAAACTCAGGAGAAGGCAGCGTAGTCAGATAATCCGGGTCAGAGCTGGAGCAGGCAGAAGGTCAAACAATCCGG